TTTTTTTCGAGTCATGACTCGAAGGGTCCTAGACAAGACCCTTATTCATCGTCTGGTGTCGTTTAAAGCCCTTTGAAGCTGCACTGAAACTCTCATTTGGACCTTGAACCGTTTGGTTCCCAATGAAGTCCATTATATGGAGAAAATCCTGGAATGTTTTCATCAAAAACCTTAATTTCTTTTCGACCGAAGAAAGAAAGACGTGGACATCTTGGATGACATGGGGGTGAGTAAATTATCTGCAAAAGTTTTTTAAAAAGTGAACTACTCCTTTAACTCTCTAAAATAAACAAAGTTAATTCTCTCAGTAGTAAGTCATACATAGCACACGCATGTTTTCTACTTTAAAAGTTTATACATTATATACAGATTTAAACATTCTTAAAAGTTTTCATAGGTAATTAATGCCCGTTACAAGAATATATTGTAATATAATTCATAGCTCCTTGTGTCTAAATCAGTACAGAAGGGCAGAAGCTTTGAGCTCCTGGTTGCAGATGTAACTCTGCCTGACAGAGACGGCCTCATGCCGGGGATTATGTAAGGAACCCAGCCGTGAGCCATAGCGCTGCTCTATAGAAGCTTCTGTGACCCGGGCCATCGTTAGGGATTAGATCAGAGACAGAGGGCTTTAACACACTTTCTCCACATTCATTCAGCTCAAATCATCACAAACTCATTGCATGTTGGTTTAAAGGCATTCAATCAAATAGTGAGGAAAAGGAACGGGAGTGATTACAAGAATGTTTTGAAAAAACAGGCAGATAAGTTGTTTGTTATGGGAAATATTAGAAATGTAGCTTACTAGTTTATTTGGCTATGTTTTTTTATATAATATTCTTAATATTTTTGAATTTATTGTTTTTATATATATATATATATATATATATATATATATATATATATATTAATATTACATTTTATTTTATAGTATAGTATATTTTATTTATTTTTTGTTTTTTATATTATATAATATTTTTATAATATTATAATTTATGTTTGTTATAGTTTGCTTTTGTTATTTTATTTATATTATACAATTATAATTATTTTTATATAATATTATTATTTAGTTTTACTTTTTTTTTTGGTGCTGCAGCATACATAAAGTTAGCGTTTGCGTGACTGCTTTTTAAAATGTTATGCAATATTAATAAATAATTATGCACAGGACGTTACTGCATGGATGATACAGGCTTTCAGCGTCCTCTTTACTAGCGTCCTTTTGTGACATTCGAGTATTGTATGGGGATATGCCAATGATTCTTAGTACTGATAATCCAACAGCCGTTCCCTCCCTCTGTCTCTCTTCACACTCAATCTCTGCTCCACGCTTCAGCTTGATCACGTACTCTCGCTCTCTTCCCCACCCCCACCTCTCTCTTTTCAGGGGATTACATGGAGAGATGGCGTGTACGTTTAGCACATCTGTCACTCCATCCCACCGTGCTGTGCAGTCAATCCAGAACAAGTTCACTGGACCTATAGGAGTTCAAGCGGTCTCAGCTGCTTTAAGACACTTTGGATTTATTTATTATTAGTGCTAAGTGATGTTCAGGTTATATTTTCATTTTACCTTCATACTTCCTGTATAAATAGTAGTTGTCTTCCAAGGCAACTGTATTGTCACCTCATGAAAATTTAAATCAAGGCCTTTGTGCACAACAATCCACTCTTTAAATGACCTTTCCTTCAGGAATAATTAGTTTTCACCATGATTATGCTTCCAATAGACTCATAATGGAACAGTTATTGGACTGTTTGAGGGCACAATGGTGCCCTTATTGCTTTAAGTGTCTTCACCTTGGACAGGCAATCTCAGCTCAGTTGTGACGGTGTCAGAGCTTTAATATGAGATATCGCCTCACGAGTTGTTTGTGTATCAGGTCAAATAATGATGCAGTTTGACTATTGTTCCACAAAAGAAGGACAATAATTGAAATGCAACATGAATTGACCTGATTCTTTGAATTCATCAACTGTGAATAATAAAATAAGTTTGTAGGTATCCCACCTTTACCACAGGACAGTCATTGTGTCAAAGATTGGAAGGGAGATAAAAAGCATCTGTGTTAATTTACAAAGGTCATGGGAGGTCAAAGAATCAAAGATGCTTACTGTGCATTGTCTCAATTGCTAATAACTGGGCTATTTCTTGCAAACTCTAACAAGTTATGCTTGTCTTGTGAGAGAAACAGCTTAAATCAGTCTGAGGTACACCACCATGTGTCAGAGCTTTAAGAGATATTTAACTCAACAAAATGAGAGCTCAACATTCAAGAGATGTTTTGTAAGAGAATAGTCAAACTGCATCACAAATTGACCTGAGGAACTTGTCAACTGCAAATGACGAAACCTTTTGGTAGTTTCTTTCAGTTTAGGCTGCTCCATGTGTGAATGCTATGCTACATGCTAATTGCTACTTGGTGAATTCAATGCCTGGTATTAGCTGTTCTTTGTTTAAACCGTGCAAAATGTAACAGCTGAACAGTTTAAAGTTGTGTGCTTATCTTACCTGCCACCGGGTTGGTCAAGTTTAAAGGATTTTTTTTTTTAAAAGTTTGTTCGCTAGTCAGTCTGAAGATCAGCTAAGCTAAATAAGTTGAACATCAACACTTTGAAGAACTAGACCACCTGAAGTCCATCTTGGCTAGTCTGGAAGACCAGCTAGAACACTGAAGACCAGTTTGGCCAGTCTGGAAGACCAGCTAGAACACTGAAGACTAGGTTGGCCAGTCTGAAAGACCAGCTAGAACACTGAAGACCAGTTTGGCCAGCCTGGAAGACCAGCTAGAACACTGAAGACCAGTTTGGCCAGTCTGGAAGACCAGCTAGAACACTGAAGACCAGTTTGGCCAGCCTGGAAGACCAGCTAGAACACTGAAGACTAGGTTGGCCAGTCTGAAAGACCAGCTAGAACACTGAAGACCAGTTTGGCCAGCCTGGAAGACCAGCTAGAACACTGAAGACCAGTTTGGCCAGTCTGGAAGACCAGCTAGAACACTGAAGACCAGTTTGGCCAGCCTGGAAGACCAGCTAGAACACTGAAGACCAGTTTGGCCAGCCTGGAAGACCAGCTAGAACACTGAAGACCAGTTTGGCCAGTCTGGAAGACCAGCTAGAACACTGAAGACCAGTTTGGCCAGCCTGGAAGACCAGCTAGAACACTGAAGACCAGTTTGGCCAGTCTGGAAGACCAGCTAGAACACCAAAGACCAGTTTGGCCAGCCTGGAATACCAGCTAGAATACTGAAGACAAGCTAGAACACCGAAGACCAGTTTGGCCAGCTGGAAGACCAGCTAGAACACTGAAGACCAGTTTGGCCAGCCTGGAAGACCAGTTAGAACACTGAAGACCAGTTTGGCCAGTCTGGAAGACCAGCTAGAACACCGAAGACCAGTTTGGCCAGCCTGGAAGACCAGCTAGAACACTGAAGACCAGTTTGGCCAGTCTGGAAGACCAGCTAGAACACTGAAGACCAGTTTGGCCAGCCTGGAAGACCAGCTAGAACACTGAAGACCAGTTTGGCCAGTCTGGAAGACCAGCTAGAACACCAAAGACCAGTTTGGCCAGCCTGGATACCAGCTAGAATACTGAAGAACCAGCTAGAACACCGAAGACCAGTTTGGCCAGCCTGGAAGACCAGCTAGAACACTGAAGACCAGTTTGGCCAGCCTGGAAGACCAGTTAGAACACTGAAGACCAGTTTTGCCAGTCTGGAAGACCAGCTAGAAACACCGAAGACCAGTTTGGCCAGCTGGAAGACCAGTTTGGCCAGCCTGGAATACCAGCTAGAATACTGAAGACCTTTTAGGCCATTCTGGAAGATCAGCTAGAACACTGAAGACCAGTTTGGCCAGCCTGGAAGACCAGCTAGAACACTGAAGACCAGCTAGAACACTGAAGACCAGTTTGGCCAGTCTGGAAGACCAGCTAGAACACCGAAGACCAGTTTGGCCAGCCTGGAAGACCAGCTAGAACACTGAAGACCAGCTATAACACTGAAGACCAGTTTGGCCAGCCTGGAATACCAGCTAGAATACTGAAGACCAGTTTGGCCAGTCTGGAAGACCAGCTAGAACACTGAAGACCAGTTTGGCCATTCTGGAAGACCAGCTAGAACACTGAAGACCAGTTTTGGCCAGCCTGGAAGACCAGCTAGAACACTGAAGACCAGTTTGGCCAGTCTGGAAGACCAGCTAGAACACCGAAGACCAGTTTGGCCAGCCTGGAATACCAGCTAGAATACTGAAGACCTTTAGGCCATTCTGGAAGACCAGCTAGAACACTGAAGACCCGTTTGGTCAGTCTGGAAGACCAGCTATAACACTGAAGACCAGTTTGGCCAGTCTGGAAGACCATCTAGAACTCTGAAGACCAGTTTGTTCCATTGGGAGACAAACTAAACCACCAGAAATCCATGGTAAGTCTTTTTTTTTTAAATGCTATTTTGTGTCATGTTTAATAGCCATTATCTATTTCTCTTGAAACATCTCAACAGATAATTGTTGAAGAACGAACAAAGCACTTCCTGGATGTTTGCTATGTATAAATTTGCAGCTCCTCGTCTTCGTCCACATCCTGTGAAACAGATAAACGGGTTTGTAATCCTGTAGCTGCATGTGCTTCTTTGGGCTCAGAAGGGGTATAAATGGAAAATCTGGGAACTAGCTGCATTGGTCAGTCCCTCATTAAGTAATGTGATTAACAGTCAGTGGGTGGATACAACAAATGTGACGTCAATGGTGGACGCCGACCTAATCTCCAAAACACAAAATTCATAGTTTTCTCTCTGATCGGTGACGACTACTGATATTTTTTTCTCCAGTTACAGCTTATGATTGATAAATTCACTGGGTTCTTTCACTTTTATTGTGTGGAAAAGAGAAAGCACACAGCCATCTGCCTCTCAGAGTAGACTGCTGTATCCTAATCCAGATTATGGCTCCACCATAAACGTTTTTTTTTTTTTTTTTTTTTGGTCCCCTGGCCGCCATTTCTAGTCAACAGTGTGTCCTTGATAACAGACAGGCAGGTCGGTTAGCCTAGCTCCAAAATTAGACCACCGACAATCCATCTAAGGGACGTCTCTACTGGAAACTAAGGAGTTTAACCAAAAGAGTTCAGGGAAGCACAATTTGACGTCACGCTAGAGACTCCAACGGGGTAAATAATGGCGTTTTTAATCAAAAGTATGGTTGGGAACCCACTGAAGGGAATGGGACTTGGAGGAGGAGAGGCAAAAGCTGAGGAAGAGACCCCCAAGGACCCCGCAGCGGCCGCCGGCATGACTAGAGAAGAATATGAGGAGTACCAGAAACAAGTAGTGGAGGAAAAGTAAGTAAAGTTTGGGCCTCTCTGGCCCTATTTGTGCTTATTTATTTCTCCTGTAATGACCTTGACAAAGTAAGTGGGGGAAAAAATGGATATGGAATCATGTTTTTAAGGTTTAAATATTTTTGGGAGATTGTTTGGTTCTTAGTAAAATTAATGTATTTATCCCAATGACAACTATTTAGCCAGTCACTTTTGGATCCTTCTTCCGTCCTTAAAGGTGTTGATGCATTACAGAAACACTTGTAGGCTGTTTAAATGTTTAATAGCTTGCAGTGATGCAAGCTTATGAATCTGTCATTCTCCATAGTGATGTATTCATGCTAAGATCTACACCTGAACTATCTCTAGGTGTCAAGATGAGAACGTCAACGATTAAAGACGAACAGACTACATGTTGGTATCAGAGAGTAACGTCAGATGCTAGTTGCTAATCAGTCCTGAGAGCAGAGCTTAGCGTGGGTTATCCTGGCCTTGTTGAGCTGGATAATGCTATTTTTAGAAACAATCAAAGCATTGGGGACTTATGAACCTCTGCATATTTCAAATCTCCCTTCCTTACTTTTTTTGTGTTTTGTTAAAGAGACAGCTGATATTTAAAGATGTGCATTAGTGTAACAAGTCGGTGTTATCTTTAAAAAACAATCTTTGATACTGAAATTCACAGTATTTATCATTCAGCGCTGCTCATATGGGAATGTGGTTAAATAACCAGATTATTACATGGAATGACGCTCAACATTCTGGTTATGAAAAACATTTGGAACCAATCATGATTGAATTTTTATATGTATATATGCAAACCAAATACGTTTAGAAGAAAAGAGCTTTTTTTTGTGAAACTCAGATTTAACACTAAATACACTGTATGTGGTTCACTATTTAAAATATTTATATTTAAGTTTATTAAGGCTGTTGCCTTTCGTATTGGGACAATAAGGAGATTTTCAAATCATAAAAAAACCTATTGCCAGTTTAATCCTAAGATTTGATATTATTCATGTTCATGTAAGATGAGATAACAACTAGCATCAGCAGGCTCACTTAAGTAGAAATATGAGCAGGTTATAAACAGATGATTCATACAATAAACATACGTGTCTTCTGTGAGATTACATCTAAACATCTAAAGATTTTTGTGTAGCTTCAGATCAAACATCCAAAGGATTTTATTATCTAGATGTTGCTGGTAAACTAGCTTTGCTTCAAGTGTAGTCGCCACACTGCCTGAACAATACCATAAGCATCCTGAAGCTCTTTATCTAGAGTTAAGCTGCAAGCTAAACCCCAGGGGTCATTTCATTCTACCGCCGGTGTTCTGGCACGCACATATTTTTAAACAAACTGTTTGTGCAATGCATGTTCTCCCATGAATTATACATGTTTACCGGTGGTATGTGTTTTTTTAACATGAAAATCATAAGATTAGTATACACTGTACTACATAGTGTAATCATCTCTTTTTTTTTTTTTTTTTTTGTTATTCTGTTATTCTTTGCATGTGATGATGTGTTTTTAAAATATTTCCACAGAATGGAACGAGATGCAGATTTCTTGCACAAGAAAGCAGAGAGGGCGACTCTGAGAGTTTGTCTAAGAGAAAAATACCGGCTTCCTAAAGTAAGAGTCACTTTGCCCCTTCTTTCTCAAATACTTAGTCGATGTTTTTCAGTTGACAACTCTGATTTTTTTTTTCATCATCAGTTTGTAAGATTATTTAAACGCACTACAGTTTGAGATTTTCTGTCTTACTCATCAAGGCTGCATTTATTTAATCAAAAATATACCAAAGAAAATTTTGAAATATTATTACTGTTTTCTATTTGAATATTTTTCAAATGTAATTTATTGAATTTTCAGTATCATTACATCATTCTTCAGTCACATGATCCATCATAAATCATTCTAATATGCTGATTTGCCAAGCAAGAAACATTTATTTTTATTATCAATGTTAAGAACAGATGTGCTGCTGTGCAATATTTTTGTGGAAACTGTAATTTTTCTTTTTTGTTGTTGTTGTTGTTCAGAATTCTTTGAATAGAAAGTTCTAAAGAACATCATTATTTATTTCAAAAAACATGTCTTTTACTGTCACTTTTGATCAATTTAATGCATCCTTGCTGAATATAAATGTATCAAAAGTGTTCATAAATTCATAAATAAATGAATACTGATGCCAAACTTTTGAACTGTATGTAAAATGGAAAGTCTATGTGTTAGATGTGTTAGACATTATTATACAGTGCACATAAACTGTCCTTCAGTGTGACATGGATTTTATAGTTACTATATATATTGGGTTTTATAGTTAAATATATATTGGGTTGAACGTAATTAATCTCTAGAATTCCTAATTTGCATTTGGCTCACAGACATGCACATATACATGTATTTTCTCCCATATATAGATGCTTTGTGTGGCTCTGAGCTCTCGGCACTTCCAATAAATAAGCTAACCAGATTAAGAGAGTGAACTGAGGTCTACACAAGCCTCCAACAATATTGGTTATCCACAACATCTGCTCGTCTTTGTATAGGTTCATTTTCTCTCTGAATTCTTCAATATGTGATGCATTAATGCAAAAAGGCTAACATTGAAGATGCTAGAGTCTAATGTCTGATACACTCCTCTGAAAACGGAAAATTTTTACTTTTTTTACTTCGTCGGAATGCTTCGATACTTTGTAAATGTTTTGGCACTTGCTATGTGAGTGCAAAAAATAATAATAATAATGGATATGATTCGAAAAATGTAAACAAAACAAAAATCACACTTGTACTCCTTGTGGTCAAAATGGCAGCATTGGAAAAGAATGGGAAACTAATTTCATCTTGGAATGGTTTGGTACTTCACAAAATCACCACTGTAAAAAAAATATTTCCATGATTTGTAATCACAACTTTTTTTCTTTTGTCAAATCAATTTAAATTATTTATATAGTTCAGATAACATAATATTTTGAGTTGATGATGATTTAATCAGTCTCCTTCATTGTATTTAAAGTCAAATTTTCCATTTCAATGAACTTAAAATTTTAAGGCAGCCAGGTTACTTAATTTAAGTTAGACCAACAATATTTTTTCCAGTGATGATCAATGAGTTGTGACAACATGTGTTTTAACATTGCTTTAACTCATCAAAATAAGTATTTGACTAATTTTTAAGTCTGTTTCATGTAATTTAAGTTGAAATTACTTAAACATCCAAATTGATTGTACTTAAATATTTAAGGCAGCAACATTTTTTTTTTTAAAGATATACCGAAAGCTCATTTCTTTGAGGTGATGGTCTAAAATTTGTAACACAAAGTTTTTAGATGTGTGGGTTTGATTTTCCTTACAGTTTTATAGTAAAAGTGTTTTGGAAAATATATATATTTCATTAAAAAAATGACAGTAGTAATTTTCGAGCTTCAATTTCTACTCCTTTTTTCTCTTCAGCAATAATCAAAATTTAACAGTTTTATTTGGAAATTACATTTTCGGGTTTATGCTCAGTGGATAACATGTAATAAATGGGATATAACTACTGCATAAATATAATTTATTACCATAAAATTACCTAAAAATGCAAAATATTCAATTAAAACATTATCAAACTAAAATAGTACATTCATTTCATTGGAATAAAATACAATATCAGTCATTTTTGAGGGTTAAAAATAAAGGTTCTTCATCGATGACTCCATGAAGAACCTTTAAGAACATCCATTACACAAATTGTTCTTTATCAATGACTCTTAATGAATTAGTAAAAGTAACAACATGACTTCTGTCCCTGTTTGACTCCCTGTGTGTATTCCCCCCTCAGAGTGAGCAGGATGAAAACATGCTCCAGATGGCAGGAGATGATGTAGATGTTCCCGAGGAGCTGCTGAAGATGGTGGATGAGGATGCCACAGAGGAAGAGGAGAAGGACTCCATCCTAGGGCAGATGCAGAACTTACAGAACATGGACATGGATCAGTTAAAAGAGAAAGCCAGCGCTACACTGACGGAGATGAAGTCCAAGGCTGAGGAGAAGTGTTCTGTCATGTAATGATTTAGCAAGTTCACACATTTCTACAATCCAGGTCTACGTTTCCCAAAAGCATCATAATTCTCCACCATGCTTTTGAGAAACACAGCCCAGGTCTCTTTTTGAAAAAAAAAAAACACATCTTCATTTTCCCTCCGCATTGATTTATTGCTGTTCAAGTTTCAGTGACACTTTACAAGAAGCTTTCATTAAAGGGATAGTTCACTCAACAATGATTAATTACCCTCATAAGTGTAGAGAGTAGTTTTATTCACATTTAAACAGGTTCATTTGAGCTTCTGTTTATGTGAATGTGAATAAAAGCCTATTTATGAACTTCTTGAAGTGTCAAAGTTGTCTATGGAGGGACAAATTCTCAGAAATATCTTTAATTGTGTTCCAAAGATGAACAAAAGTCTTATGGGTTTGTAATAAGGGTGAGTAATTAATGACAGAATTTATTTTTGGGTGAACTATCCCTTTAAAATTAACTCTTTATTTACATAGATGTATAAATTAAGTTAACCATAATACCAACAATTACAAAAACATTTTTAAAATCCTAAATGAGAACAATCGAAACAATTTAAAATCATGTGAGACCTCATTGTAAAGTGTTAGCAAAGTTTAATTATAACGCAGTCACCCAAGTTTTTAATTTCCAAAGCTGCATCTGAACTTTTCAGCTTCTCTGAATGTCATTTGCTTGGCCCCATATTTTGCTGTTTCGACTTTATTTCTTTTGTATGTTATGTTAATAAATGATGTTGTAGGCTAGTCTTTTCTCTTTCCCTTTTCTTTTGTGCATATATTTACCTGTAATATATCTAAAAAACATATAATGACTTGAACCAGAGGTGGTGGAGAAGCTGTTGAATTCTCCCTCCTGCTGTTTTGCACAAGGGTTGAGATGAATGTGAGGCTGTTATTTCTTCTTTTCTTGACGACAGACCATCTAGCATTGGCGCATATGATATTGTAATGTTTATTAGGATTCTTTAGTCTATTAAGTTACGTATGTGGTATGTAACTTTATAATGTGAGGTAAATAGGCATAAATATGATTAATGTCTCATGTGTAAACAGATTAAATCGATGAATAAAACAGACGATTGATAAACTATGCATTTGTGATCAAAATAAGTCATTGTCTGCGAGATTTTCTCATTATAATGTCAATGTTTTAGCGTTACATGCACAAGAATACAGCTAAATCCAATAAAAAGGGCCTGAAAAACATTGGTTTGTTTAGCAATACCAGATGACAAGATGGGAGAAAATAAATATTAAATGATTCATGGTTCATGGTTATTAAAAAAGAGCATATTTTTGAAGTTTTAATAGGATTATACAAGGTCGATAAGACAAGTATTCCTTCACTAGACATAACTATGGCAAGCCGTCTTAGCTTTTATTCATTTCCAGGATATGAATTCTTGATATAAAAAAAAATTTAATTCTTGATATCAACAATTTAGTTGCTGATATCTGTAATTGTGTTTTCACTAGTGAAATTTCACCATAGGCTGCCATTCAAAATAAATTGTTGATATCAAGAATTGATTTTTTTACTAGTAGAAATATCATTTTTGATATGAATAATTAAATTGTTACTAGTAAAAATGTGAATTCTTGATATCAATAATTAAATTGTCACTAGTTGAAAGGTCTATTCTTGATATCAACAATTCAATTGATAGCTTAGTAAAAATGATCATTTTTGATATCTGAAAATATTGAATATTATTTCACATATCTAAAATGTCTTTCTTACTAGTAACAATCACATTCATGATATCAGAAATTAACATTGTCAATAGTAAAAATTAAATTCTTGATATCAAAATGAACATTGTTACTACAATTGTGGATATCAAGAATAGTCCTTTAAACTAAGAACAATTGAATTCTTGATCTCAAAAATAAAGATTTTTACTAGTAATAGTAGTAACTTGTATATTTAAGTTCAGTAATTTCACTTAAATAACAATTAGGTAATCATCATTGCCATTTAAGTGAGATCACTGAACTTAAATATACAAGTTTGATAAAAATCATCATTCAAGAAGAAAATTTCAAATGGCGTTTAGAGGCTTTTGCATCTGAACTCTTCATATATATTTAGTATTTACAAAAAAACATCTTATAATTGCCTACTTATAAATACTTATATAGGCCTACTTTCCCTTTTCTGTAAATATCCTTCTATTAAAATCCTATCCAGAAAATAATATGAAAGACTTTTAAGATAGATAGATATAGATATTATATTTGTTGTTGTTGTTGTTTTTGTCATAAACGCGTTTGATTGATTTTTCGTGTGTGTGTGTGTGTGTGTGTGTGTGTGTATCTTTGAATAAATCTCGGAATACCAACATTATCTGTTGTAATTAGGGAAAAGCCAAGCGGTTGAAAGGATTTGGCCTGTTTTGGATAGAGGAGGGAAAGTGTGTAATCCCCTCAAACCAGCGTGTGTCCTGCGGATTATCAGACTGCTGTCAATCTTTGTTCGGAGCTAATTACACGTATCCATTCAATATTGAGGAAGTTTGCAAATTCTTCCAATTAACTGCACCTCAATTGTAGGCCAGCTCTCAGGGGTCGCGCGCTTGCTGCTTGAGATCGCGTTTTGTTCATGTAACAAAATCTCCTATGGAACCATGCTCGAAGTATAGACGTAAAGTAGTTTTATCGGTTTAGACTGTTAATTAGGCTTCTTAAATGTTTGATCACCAAAACGTATGATAGCTAAATTAGATCCAAAAGCTAAATTTTCTAATTCACAGGCTATTCAATTGGCTACGCATATTATTCCATTCAGGTTTAAAGGATTTCAATATTTTGCTGTTCACAAACATACTTTAAATATAATCTTAAATCTTGTATTGGAACTTGTATTCGCTATGAATAGCCAACTTTGTTATTTTTGTTACTATTTTATTTTTAGTGGATATCGCCTCAACAGTAACTAAATTTATAATCTGCTAAGAAAGCCATGAGTTTTAAATGTAGCCTAAATGTTTTTTTTTACATTATTAAATGTCTGCTCTTTGTTTAATTTTTGTTTTGTAAAGCGATTTAAACCTAAATATAGGCTATGTAACTCTTGTTGTATAGAAATTCCATTATCATAATAATTTCATGTAGGCAAAGAATAGGTCTCCTTTATTTTAAACATTTTATAAGGGGATCATTTGAATTCAAAACGTCAATCAAATAAAATAATTCCGCTTTTACTGTCACCCAGCTGTGATTTTCACATGATAAACTTATCACTTTTAGCCTTAACTGTAAGCTATGCCTGACACTGGTGCTGACATAGCCTATACAGCTATTTCGTTGCACATGCACTGGAGCGTTTTTGTAAACTGACGTTTTTAATGTTATTTTGCACGTGCAGAGATTTTTGTAATTATGATCTGTTTCGGCCTTAAAGATGTAATCCAGCCCCAGTTCCTCTCATTTCTACAGGCCATCATGGTCAAGACATCTGGAGTGGGAAAAGATTATTTAAGATTTATGTAAGGCGGTTTATATTATGCAGAAGAAGCTCTGGGAGGAGTTAAATGCTCTTCGCGGGGACAATACTATCCCTCACTCCGGACAATCTGACGTTTCTTGACGTGTCGAAGGGGATGTCACTCACACAATAGAATCCCGCTCGAGGGGAATCCATATAAGGCCCCTGGGGGCCACTGCATCCTCAGTGTGGACCACTACTGGAGAAAGTTGCATGACTTGCTTCTGCTGGGACAGTCTGGACTATCGGGAATTGATGTGCTGCTGAGTGTATCGAATAGGAAATATAGCTGAGCTTTGCATACTTTTGTTTTGTTTTGTTTTGTTGTTTTTTCCGCATCAAAACGTTCGATGAAGCTTGTTGGATCCCAGTCCCAAGACATGGAAGAGCGTCTCTCCCCATCCGCGCGCTTGGTTCGCAGTCCTGGATCCCAAACGAGGATCCACAGCATTGAATCCATTTTGGGATTTAAAGGAGAGAATTTGTTCCACCCGGCGTTTTCCTATGGATCAGGGAAGCCAGGAAAAGACACGGAGCACTTGCTGTCCCCCAAAAAGGACTGTAAGAACTCCAAGAACTTTGAAGGTGAGTAAACGGATGCGTAAAGTTTTATTTTCAGGGTTTAAAACTGGCCATTTTGACAGCACTTTATAGCAAGTTAATAATAATATACATGTAGCATACTACATTTCAAGCATATTTAAATGAGCTATTAATATAAATTGTAAGGTTTGTTGAAAAGTTTTATTGCCTAGATTTAACTTGTAAATGAAATAGACGTTAAAATTGAAAGAAAGAAAGAAAGAAAGAAAGAAAGAAAGAAAGAAAGAAAGAAAGAAAGAAAGAAAGAAAGAAAGAAAGAAAGAAAGAAAGATAATTTAAAGAAAAAATGGCCTATAAAATAAAATTAGGCTACGTAAAAGACAATGTTAGCCAATACGGAATACCAATAAAAGTTTAATGACTTTTAAAAAATGTTTTCACCTGTAGTTAAAAAAAGGTAAATAATTAAAATGCCGGATGTTTAACTAGAATATGAACACGTCATACCTTCTCAAGGAAAACTTTACGTTATTTTTCTACAGGTGTCTGTAGATCTGCTGTCAGTCCGGATCCAGATACGGATGGCGGTAAATTATCGGATGATGAAAATCCCAAGAAAAAGCACCGACGGAACCGGACCACGTTCACCACATTTCAGCTGCACGAGCTCGAGAGAGCGTTTGAGAAGTCGCATTACCCTGACGTGTACAGCAGAGAGGAGCTCGCGCTCAAAGTGAACCTGCCAGAGGTTCGAGTACAGGTGAGCACAGCGCGTGCGCAACACAGATCATGGGCTTCATGAGCTCTGTATTTGGAGAATAAGATAATGACACATATTAGAAATAAGATTTGACCTTATTTATATGGCCTTTCTTTTTACAAGTCCATCAAAGCATAGTTAAAAAATTAGGCAAAATAAATACAGTAGCCTATATATTAACATTTTTGTTAAAAAAAGAAAATTAGTAGGCCTACCTATATAATAATAGCCTATATATTATAATTTTTTACAAAAGTTAATTTTTATAACAAAAATATGATTTATATATTTTTAAAAGCGTTTAATATAGCCTACAATGATAATACAAACTCAAATAAAATAGGATACTTACATAACTATGCATTTATTTATTTACAATTGAGTATTTTTGTTTTGTTATTTTGTATCATATATATTTATATAAATGATTAAAAGGAAAGTTCAGCAAAAATAAAAGATTTCACATCAGTCAATGTGGCCTTTTCTTTGATTTCATTGAAATGAAATTGTATGTTCTAATTTAAAATGAGTAAATATTAGAAAATAACAGCTGAGTAATCTTTATTAGGGGGGAAAAAAACTCAAACTGAATTGGGTTTCAAATATCAAGTCGAGTAAATTATGATTCGACCTGAAATAAATAAATAAATAAATAGCCTACAATTTAATCATCAAATAAACATCAATTATGGAAACATGGATGAATCCATTTTTTTGCAAGTGTACACATTGTTATACTTAAAGAGCTATTTCTGGTTAACCCATAAAAAGTATTGGTTGGTTAAGTCATGTTATATAATATTTTTTGCTTAAAAGCGGTTCATTTAGATGTTAACATTTTAGGCTCCCATTTTTTTCAGTGTATTTAAAGGGTTTTTACATAAACTTCCCTCACAATGTGAATTTTCAACATCTGCGTTATAAACTAAATCCTTTCTCATGTCACGTTTCAGGTATGGTTCCAAAACCGCCGTGCAAAGTGGCGACGTCAAGAGAAACTGGAGGTGAGCTCCATCAAGCTGCAGGAGTCCTCCATGCTGTCCATCCCCAGATCAGGGCCACTGTCTCTGGGTAGCGGTCTGCCGTTGGAGCCCTGGCTTACCGGACCTATCTCTTCCTCCAGCTCTCCCCTGCAGTCCCTGCCCAGCTTCATCACCCCTCAGCAGGGTGTTCCCGCCAGCTACACCCCTCCACAGTTCCTCAGCTCATCCACGTTCAACCACCCTCTGCCCCATATCGGGGCAGTGTGCCCCCCTCCACCCGCCTACCAGTGCTCAGGCTTTATGGATAAATTTTCACTAG